CAAATATAATTTCCTTAAAAAAAAAAGAAAAAAGAATAGCTAATGAAAGCTGGGCTTAATACCTAGGTGATGGGCTGATCTGTGCAGCAAACCACCATGGTACACATTTACCTATGTCACAAACCTGCACATTCTGGAACCCTATACCCTGGAAGTTAAAATAAAAGTTGAAGGAAAAAATAGTTTTTCAAACTTTAAAAAAAAAAAAAGGAAAAATAAAGGTAACTAAGCATTTCATATGGATGTTGAAATAAAAACTAAGATTACTTTTTTATGTGATTCATTTCTGATGTTTTTTGTTTGAAGCTTTTATCCCAACTGATAAAAAAAAATTAAAATTTCCTTTAATAGAAGAAGTGGTAGAAACTAGACCTTTAACATTACTGGAGGAATACTTTGAAAATAAATCACTTAGCAGTCAGAATAACAATTTGGAATTGTGACCAAATAGTCAAAAACAGCTGGGAGACCTAGAATTCAACAGAACATTGTTTTAACACTTAAGAGTTGTGTGACCTAACAGAAGGGAAGAATATATAAGAATAAAGCTTAATTAACCAACTATGTAAACAGAACCAATCATTATTCATAGTTCCCTTAAAAGTAGTATTTGCTAAACTTAAAAGATTTGCATGCTGTAAAAAAAAATCAAAAACAAAAACCTGACAACTTTAATTCCCACAACAAATGTTTTATTGTTTATGACACAATTTACATATTTTATATTGTGCATCTACTAACAAGTTTTTGTAGTTATATTCTTAATACTGCTCTTTTAACTCTTAGACTAAAATTGTTTATATACTATCTTTACAGTATTCAAATATTCTGTATATGTGTATATATTTGCCCTTGCCTGTGAATTGTGTACTTTTGTATGCTTTCTTGTTGCTGTGTAGCATCATTTTGTTTCAACTCAAAGAACTCCTTTTAGCATTTTTTTATAAGGCAGGTCTAGTGGTGATGAACTCCTTCAGCTTTTGTTTATCTGGGAAAGCCTTTCTCTCTACTTCATTTCTGAAGGACAGTTTTGCTGGGTACTGGTTGACAGTTTTTTTGTTTCCTTCAGCATTTTAAATATATCATCCTGCTCCCTTCTGGTCTATAAGGTTTTGGCTGAGAAATCTGCTAACAGCAGATTTATGGAAGTTCTCTTATATAAGACAAGTCCTTTTCATCTTGCTACTTTCAAAATTCTCTTTGACGTTTGGCAATTTGACCACAAAGCGTCTCAGCATGGATTCCTCTTAAAGGGTTGTTTGGACTTCAAGGATCAATGTTCATTTCCCTCCCCAGATCTGGGAAGTTTTCAGCCACTGTAAGTTTCCTGCTCATTTCTCTTCCTGCTCTCCCTCTTCCTCTCTCTCTTGCCCTCCTTCTGATAATCCCATATTGAGCATATTGGTTTGCTTGATGGTGTCCTTTTAGTTTCTTAGGATTTCTTCACTCTTTCTCCTTTTTGATTCTCTGAATGAATCATTTCAAATGACCTATCTTCAAGTTGACTCGCTCCTCTATTTGATCAAGAATGCTGTTGAAGTTCTCTATAGAATTTTTGTATTATTTATTGTATTCTTCAGCTCCAGAATTTCTGTTTGGTTCTTTGCTTTCTTATGGTTTCTATCTCTTTGTTGGTATTCTCATGATTTTCACTTTTCATTTTCCTCATTTAATTTAGTTGTCTATCTGTGTTCTCTTGTAACTCATTTAGTTAAGTAATCTTTAAGACTATTATTTTGAGTTGTCTTGTAGGCAATTTATAGAACTCCTTTTCTTTAGGATCTGTTATTGAATATTTATTTTGTTCCTTTGATTGTGTCATGTATTCCTGATTCTTCATCTTCCTTGCAGCTTTGCTCTGGGGCCTGTACATTTGAAGAAACAACCACTCCTCCCAGTCTTTACGGACTGACTTCAATAGACAAAGACCCTCAACCAATCAGCTCAACCAGATTCTGGGAACCTCTCAAATCTATTCTATGAATGTACGCACTTCATTCCACCATCCATCCTGAGAGTCTCAGGGTTGTGTGCCTTCTCCCAATCTCACAAAGAAATGATGGCCCCAGTAAGAGGCCCATCTCTTTTCCCTAGGGCAGTACTCTAAAATTCCAGGATGCATGCTTCATTCTTCTCATTCCCTTCTGAAGCAGATGATTCACAGATATGCACCTTCTCCCAACCCTGCAGAGCTCTACTGGCCACAGTTGCCTGCCCTCCACTTTTCTCTAGAGTGAGGCACTGAAATGATGGGCTACTGCTCCCACTCCTCTCCCTCCCTCCTACAGAAATGTGAGGGTTGTGCACTTTTTCCAATCTTGCAGAGACAAGCAAGCTGCAGTGAGCCTCTCACTCCCTTTCTTTGTTCTTAGCTTCCCCCGCAAGTTTAAATTATGCTGGCTACTCCAGCACTCTGGATAAGGTGGGATAGAAAGAGGTCATTCAAGCAGCACCCACAAATGCTAGAGATGTTTGTTGTACAGTCCACTTGTTCTTTGCCCCACTGGAGGAGTCACAGTCTGGGACAAATTCTCTCTTAACCAGCTGGGAGAAGGGACTGACAAAGCTAAGAGTGAAATTGCTCTTCTTAGCCATTTCAAAGTGTCTACTCTCTGTTTTGTGCTCCTCTGGAGTACTGCAACTTCTTCACTGGATACTGGACCTCTTATAAAGGTATTTTTCTTGGTATACCATTGTTAAATCTGTGTTTCTGTAGGGGGATGAGAGCTGAAACTTCTTATTCTGCCAAATTGCTGATGTCATGAAAGACTACTACTTTCTGGTTGGGTTCTATTCAACTACAATATAGTAAAATGAAAAATTCTCTGGAGAAAAAGGCCAAAGTAAACATGAATCTCTCCTTGTGCACATCCCTTCCATCAAAGATCACAGCCCCTCAAGATTGGTCTTGCCCAACCAATTGTTCTCCAGTGCCTGTAGACAATTGTTTTTTAATATTTTCTCCAGATTTTAGAATTTTTATTCTGGACCACCAACTTATTGGACATTTGGATATGGAAGTAAATTCTAAATAGCTTTCTAAGATTTACATCCCACTTCCAGCAAATATGGCTTCTCTGTGTGTAATTTTATGTATAGCCACAACACTTCTACTTTCCTGAAGCAAACTGAATCCAGGTGGGGATTCTTCTGCTAGCAAAGTGTTCCCCAATGTCCTTTGTAACTATTATAAATGGGACATATGACTCATGAACTTAGGGTAAGTTCCTTATCATCAGAAAGTGTATTATTTTGCTGGTATTTTCTAAGGCACTCTATTTCAGAATCCCTAGATACTATCTATATCTCCTTTTCTCATCTTGGTCCCTCATAGCTTCTGCCCACTTTCAGCTCTGATCAGCCTCATTACTGATAAATCAAGGATATTATTTCTGAATTTTGTGGTAAGCCATTCACATTCAGAAAATGTTTTTAAGCACTTTCCAAAATATACGCTTTGCTAATCCCAAGTCGAAATACTCTCTTTTCCTTTTCTCACACTTCTATCCAGGCTCGATACTTCTGATAGTCCTTACTTATAAACTTGAGATGGCAGATTATTTGCCGCAAAGGTTCATAAACATGAGATGTATAAGTTGTTTTTCTTTTTTATGTCCTTATGGCTTTACATGTTTTGTAAAAGGAGAAGGAGAAGAATAAGAAGTATGCTAGTTGTGGATTCATATCAGAATCTTCCAAGTTATATTCTTACTATTTCCCCAACACAAATTTTATATTGGAAGGCATACAAGACAATTAATAATAACTATCATCTCCAAATCTATTCTTCTAAGTACTAATCATGAGGCTAAAATCCACAAGCTGTGTTTTGCAGTCTCCATTGCCAGCTGGGAGCATTAGAAAGATACTGGGGAAAAGACGGTAAAGAAGTGTGTTTCCTGCTGTTCCTGTAAACAAGTTCTTTCAGTGAAAATTGGTTCCAGCCTCCAGTTGCTTTTGGCATTCCCCAAAACAGCCTCATCACCACCTTCTTTACACATACCAACAGTAGCTATTTGATAGTTCCTCCTCAAATTTCTGAGCTCCAGTGTCTCTAGATCTAATTTCTGAGTTCCTGGGTTTCGGTATCCCCAACCCACTATCTTTTGTATCCCCACCATTAATGTGTAGGCCACTTTATGCAGTTATAATCTATGGGTTACATCAGGATTTCCTCTTTTGTTCTTTCACTCTTCAAACGTGTGTAAATAATTTCCCACATTAAATTCCACCTCATAAAGTGACTCATGTTTCTATTTTCCTGAATGAACCCTAACTGACCAGAAGGTTACTCTGATGCTTACTCACCCTCCAGTCAAGAACAGTATTTCTACTTTAGGAAGCTACCTTGGTTACAAATTATATAGTACCTACATTTTATGTTTTAAAATAATAAATTTTGAAAAATAAAATCAAAACTATAATACTTACTATTTTTAAAAACAGAACACAATAAAGAATTTTTTGAAAACTCATTCATATTCCCAACATGCAAAAACAAGTGGTAACACTTTGATATATTTATTTCTTGTCTCTTTTTAGGGAGATTGCTTTGTTTTTAAAATTTGTGATAAACCGTTTTTATATTGTCTTCTTATGGTTAAGGTATACCTTTAAACTTTTTCAATTTCAACTTGCAAACAAAAAATTTTAAAAGTCTCTTTCACTTTGTAAAAACAAAATGACATATTTTTCTTTAACTCCTACCCTATGAATGACTATGCTCAAAATAGTACTTAATTTTTTAAAACATACTGCATGCCTAATTTATTTTATAAAATTCACAGCTAACGTCACTTCTTTCGTATACAAGAAAACAGATTAAAGTTGTCTGTATCTTAAGAAAACATTATTCCCTCAGAATTACATGATAAAGCATGTACATTTTTGCCAGGAAAATATGTCAATGGTATATTTTATACTATGAACCAAAAAGAAAAACAATCCTCCTCTATAGCCTATAAAAATTGTAAATAAATTTAGTAAGGCCAATTACTCACCCCCTATTACTGACAATTGCCTTTTTCAAGTGAATGTAATTTGCAGGAAAGATCCCCTGTAAAAGAGAAAATATTTCCCATTAGAAAAAATAAACTGTGATTAACATTCATATATACAAAAATAGCAATCAGATCTCAGCACAGAAACATAGTAGATCTCCTGCTACAGCAACCACTTTGCACATTAAGTATGCAGAGCTGTACAAAGTATATTAGATAGGAATTTCATGGCCATATGCAATCAAAATCGATCCTCAGGAGACAACCATGATCTTTAGCACTGCAAAAATAAAACTTTAAATTTTAATTTTAAAAGAGTTATAGATTAGAGATGGTCCATCAATTCACTCTCCAGATATAGTATTATGTACAAAACTTGTCACATATCTCCAAAACTAGTATCATCATCTAACCAACAACTTACAGATTATCTAGCTCTGAGCTGGAAAAACAATCATCAGATTCTAGCTAACATTAATGTTCACAGGAGTGAATCAACTCAAGAACTTCTAAAATATGTCTTCTTTTACTCTTTCCAAAACTGTTTCTACTTTGTTATTTACCATAATTTGATTCCAATCCCTAAAGAATAAGTAGCGTATTTAAAAAAAAAAAAAAAAAAAAAAAAAAACACGTCAGTTTTCCAATCAATGTTTCACCCCATCTCCTGATGTATAAAATGCTCTTCAAATAAAACATGAATGGCTTACAGGTTTGGTGGCTCATGCTTGTAATCCCAGTGCTTTAGGAGGCTGAGGTGGGAGGACTGCTAAAGGTCAGGAGTCCATGACAACTCTGGGCAACATAGGGAGACCCTGTCTCTACAAACAATTAAAAAGTTAGCCAGGTGTGACGGTGCACACCTGTACTCCTAGCTACTTGGGAGGCTGAGGTACACACCTGTAGTCCTAGCTACTTGGGAGGATGGCTTGAGCCCAGAAGTTGGGGCTATAGTGAGCTATCATAGCACCACTGTACTCCAGCCTATGTGACAGAGCAAGAACCTGTCTTAAACACACACACACACACACACACACACACATCCTAAATATTTTTTATACTCTGTGGCCCACACTACCACCAATAATCATCCCAATGAAGGCTATAAGCAATTAGACTACAGTAATAAATTCTGTGTGTTGGCTCATAATAAAAGAGCATATGCTAACGTAAAATCCTAATATGGGAGAATAGAGGGACTTAAAAAAGGATTTAAAATGCAACCGCATGTAACCATAGCTAAATGATGACTATTGTTTATCTGCTTTTAAAAAAAAGGAATTGATAGTAAAAAGCTTTAAAATATACATGCTCAGCATACACTTCTGAGAAGATGAAAGAAACATACATTTCAGTATTCCTCCAAATAAACACCTAGTGCATACCTAAAAACTCTGGAATATATATACATACATAACCAAAATAAAAATATTCTGAAAGGTAGAGAGAAGAAGGCAGACCAACTAGGGATTGTGGGAGACACAAAAAAACATAGTGGTGAATTCCCTAGTTTATCTTTTTGCATATATATCAGGCTATTTGAAAGTGAAGAAGCTGGAAACCTGGAAGCATCAACAGGCACAGACAGAAAGAAACTCCAACAAAAACTTGCTCTCTCTAGCCAAAGAACCAGGAAAAGGTCATCCTATTAAGACAGAAAACTTTTAAACAATAACCACTATACTGCTGTCAAACAGCACCCCTTTCTGCCCCCAACTCCAAAAAACTGTGACCTAATCCCCACCCACACAAGCAAGGTCAATTGGAGATACTATACTTTCACCATCATCAGGCAGTAACGAAGCACTCAGACCCACACTGGGGTAGCATAAGATGTGGCTGGCTGTTTGGGGACCCGAAAACCTTCTCCAGTAGCTAGTAACAAGCTCCCACCACACAGTGGCAGTGGAGATTGCCTGGATTATCTGGACTTACACCCCTAACCAGCATTAACAGGACTCCCTCCATCAGCCTTCTCTGGTGGTATCAGAACTGCCCCACGGGACAGTTGGACTGAAAAAGTACATGAAGAAATAATGGTATACTAGTGAGGATGTGACGCAACCTCATTCATTGCTGATAGGAATACAAAATGGTATGGTCACTTTAAAGGACACTCTGGCAGTTTCATACAAAACTAAACATAGCCTTACCATATGATCCAGTAATTACACTCCTAAGTATTTACTCAAATGAGTTGAAAATTTGATGTCCATACAAAAAAACTGCATACAAAAGCTTATAGCATTTTTCTTCATAAATGCCAAGACTTGGAAGCAACTATGATGTCCTTCAACAGGTGAATGGATAAGCAAACTGTAGCACATCCATACAATGAATATGATTCAGCAATAAAAAGAAATGAGCTATAAAGCCACAAAAACATAGGGAAAACATTAACTGCATATTGCTAAGTGAAAGAAATCAATCTGAAAGGCTACATACTGTATGACTCCACCTATATGATATTCTAGAAAAAGCAAAACCATAGAGACAGTAAAAAAAACAGTTGTTGCCAAGGTTCCTAGGGGAAGTGGGAAAGGAGGAACAGGTGGCACACAAGGGCATTGTTAGGGCAGTGAAACTATTCTGCATGGTACTGTAACGACAGCTACATAACACTATGCATTTGGTAAAACCCTTAGGACTGTACAACACAAAGAGTAAACCCTAATGTAAATAATAATATTAATAGTGTATCAATACTGGTTTATCCATTATAACAAATGTTCCACACTAATGCAGGATGTTAATAATAGGAAAACTGAAGTGGGGGGTGGAGACGAAAAGCCTGTACTTTCTGCACAATATTTCTGGAAACCTAAAACTCTTTAAAAAATAAAGTCTAATTTGAAATGTAAAATTTTAAAAATGACACAAAACTTCCAAATTTGGAAAAAGACATAAAGGTACACATTCAAGAAGTTGAATGAATCTCAAGCAGGAAGAAAACCAAGGAAATACACAACAAGTTACAACATAGTCATTTTGGAATACTATGGGCAAAGAAAAAATTGACAAGAGAGAAACAACACTTTACCTATAGTGAAAAAAATTACATTAATTAATTTTTCATCGAAACCATAAAAGATAGCAGCACCAGTCACAATAGCCAAAAGCTGCTGACAACCCAAATGTCCATCAACTGATAAATAAATGAGCTGTTCATATTATTGAATGGTATATATCCAGCCGGGCATGGTGGCTCACGCCTGTAATCTCAGCACTTTGGGAGGCCAATGCGGGCAGATCACCTGAGGTCAGGAGTTTGAGACCAGCTTTGCCAGCATGGCAAAATCCTGTCTTTACTAAAAATACAAAAATTAGCTGGGCATGGTGGCGGGTGCCTGTAATCCTAGCTACTCAGGAGGCTGAGACAGGAGAATCGCTTGAACTCAGGAGGTGAAGGTTGCAGTAAGGTGAGATGGCGCCACTGCACTCCAGCCTGGGAGACAGAGCGAGACTCCATCTCAAAAATAAAAAAAAAAAGAATGGTGTATACTTGCAGTGAAACATTATTCAGTCATAAAAAGGAATGTACATGAATAAACTCAGAAAACAATATGCTGAATGAAAGAAGACAGATGCAAAAGACACCTATTACATAATTTCATGTACACGAAATATTCAGAATAGGCAAATACACAGAGACAGAAAGAAGTCAAATGGTTGTCAGGAGCAGGAGGATGAAAAAACGTGACTGCTTAAGGGGCTTGGAAGTTTCTGTTTGTGGAAATGAAAACATTTTGGAGCATAATAACGGTGATGTTTGTAAAACATTATGAATGTACTAAACGTCACTCATGGTAAATGTTACATGTATTTTACATTCTAGATTTTTGAAAAATGCGTATAAAATATTTAAAATACAAATTCCTATAATTTTCACTGCAAATATAGAAGACAGAAGGAAGTGGCACATTTGTCAAATGCTGAAAGGAAAGCATTGTCAATCTAGAATCTTATACCTACCAAAAATACATTTCAGGCATGGAAGAGAAATCAAAACATTTTCAGATGAAGGAAAATGAAAATAATTTGTCACCAACAGAAATACCCTAAAAATAAAGGTGAAAGAAAATTCTCTAAGCAGAAAGAAAATGATAAAACAAAAAACCATGGAACTACACTAAGAAGAAAAAAATGTAAGCAAATCCATGGGTAAATATAATAGACTTTCATTTTTCTCTTGAATTTTCTTAATTAGATTTGATGGTTGAAGCAAAAACTATAGTACTAACTTATATGATTCTTAGTTTATGTAGAAAAATAACTGATACAATTATATTATCAAAGAGGTAAAGTGATATAAAAGAAGATAACGTTTCTATAATTTACTCCATTGGAAAAAATGACAACAACAGCTGACTATAAGTTCTGCATATATGATATAAGCCTAGGGGTAACTACTAAAAGAGCTCTACAAAGGGATACATTCAAAAACACTATATATCTAGACATGTGTACATGTGAAAATGGAATTCTTTTCAAAATTTCAATTAAACCACAAGAAGGCAGGACAAAGAAAAGAGAAAAATAAAAAATTATTTTATAGAGAAAACGGGAACAGAACATAACAAAATAAAATGGCAGACTTAAATCCTAATACATCAATAATTACACTAAATGTAAATTATATAAATGCACTCAAAGACAGAGACAGGCAGAGTATACAGGTAGATATGACCAACCTATATGGAGTCCACAAAATAACTCATTCTAAATACAGTGATACAAGCTAGCTGAGTGTAAAAGGACAGCAGGATATGTTATACAAAAATTAATCCAAAAAAAGCAGTAGTTAATATCAGATAAAGTGGACTCCAAAGCAAAAAAGAAAAAATTACAAAACACAAAAAGATACCTTATTTAATGACACAGGATTAACCACCAAGACATAGCAATTATCAATGTGTATGCACCAAACAAAAGCTACAAAATATATGAAGTAACACTGACAGGAATAAAAATAGGTAAACCCACAATTACAGAGAGGTATAGAACTAGACAGAAAATCAGCAATGATAAAGAAAAACTCAACAACACTAACAACCAACAGGATCTAGCAACAGTCATTGAATAGCCACCTAACAAAAGCAAAATATACTTTCACTTCAAGTGTGTACACCAAGGACATACACCAAGAGGACATACACCAAGAAAGATCATATCTTGGGGGAAAAAAAACATAAGATTAAAAGAAATGAAATCGTACATGGAATATTTTCTCCAACCACAATGCATTGAAACTAAAAATTGGTAACAAAAAAAATTTCTAAACGTTTAGAAACAAAACAATATACTCTAAGTAATCCATGCAAAAAGAAATTCTCAAGGCAAATAAAAAATTATACCAAACTGAATGAAAATGACAATACAATATAACAGAATTTATGGAACACACATAAAGCAGTGCTGAAAGGAAATTTTATGACAGCTAAATACACATATTATTAAAGAAGAAAAGTTTCAAATCAATAATCTAAGCTCCCACCTCAAGAAATTAGAAAAAATAGAGAAATATAAAACTGAAGCAAGTAGAAAGAAGGAATACAATGTAGAAATC